CCCATAACTGCAGAATTGAATCCTGCAAGAAAGATTCATAATAAGCACCATTAGTAAGGTTTCTTGTCAAGAAATTAGGGGGTTAATAATATACAAAATCTTGGAAATGGAATAAATCCATATTCTAGCATCCATTCATCAATGGATTGATTTAGGAGGATTTCTATGAGCTGTTTAAATCTTTTCTTTTTAGAATAGAAAGGATGGTAGGTCAAATCTGAGTTTCTACCTACTGTATATCCTAGGATAGGAAATAGTAGGTGACAAGTTGGCACCTACCTTACTATTTGGAACAGATGCCAGCCTCATTGTTTCTACTAAAACAGTCTATAGGAGCAGATCTTTTGATGGAAAAACATTGTTGCTGTTAGTTGCGAAGTCATGTCCGACCCATCACAATCCCATAGACAATGTTCCTCCAAGGTTTCCTGTCCTCTACCATCCTCTGGAGTCCATTTAAGCTCATGCCTACTGCTTCAGTGACTCCATCCAGCCACCTCGTTCTCTGTCGTCTGCTTCTTCTTTTGCCCTCAATCTTTCCCAGCATTAGGCACTTCTCCAGTGAGTCTGGAGGAAAAACATTGGAAAAGGCTAAAAAGATCAGGATGCAAGATGATAATGCCTAGTAGGTCATTACCACATTATATGTCTGGATGGAGCAAGGACCCTAGGCTTTTTCCTGGTTTTTGAGGTTAAGAAGGAGCAACAAAGATGATTAGGGGGTTGGAGGCTAAAACATATGAAGAAGGTTGCAGGAATTGGGTATGTTAACTAAGGATGATATGATAACAGTGTTCCAATATCTAAGGGTCTGCCACAAAGAAAAGGGGGTCAACCTATTCTCCAAAGCACCTGTAGGCAGGACAAGAAACAATGGGTGGAAACCCAACAAGGAGACAATCAACTTGGAGCTAAGGATAAATTTCCTGACAGTTACAACAATTAATCAGTAGAATGACTTGTCTCCAGAAATTGTAGGCGCACCAACATTGGAGGCTTTTAAGAAGAAATGGTATAGCGTTTTCTGCTTTAGCAGGAGATTGGACTAGAAGACCTACAAGATCCCTTCCAACTCTGTTATTCTGTTAACTCTTTTTCAGGCTTCCACTACAATTTTTCCCCCTTTAATTCTATTTTCAAAAAGGACAGGAAACTATTCTTTTGATCTTTAATTAGAGGGATATAAGTACTGAAAAAAAATGAGTTTTGAGGGGGCTGCTGGGATGTTTTATGGGAACCAGAACATCAAAGGGAGTTAATCATGGATAATATTTCAATCACTTAGCCTAAGTAATTTTCCATAGCCAGATAAACTATGCAAATGAATAGTCATGACGATAAGATCAGAGCTTTTCCAAAAATGGATTTAATGAGAGAACCGAACAAGTAGTTGAATTATTAACAGCTGATGGCTGTTTGAGAAACAGGGCAGAAAATAGAAGAAAAATGGTGTCAGGGCCGCTACTTCAGTATCTTGATCTTCTAAGCTACAGAGTGTAGAAAACTAGGAAGAGAGATTTAATGGTGAAGGAAAAGACAATTTTTATCAGTACTATTCATGTACTATTTAAACACTGGAAAAGTGAAATTTCAAGAAGGTAAGGCAGTCACTCTGTTGGAAGTACTGAATGTAAGTATCACACTTTAAAAAGAATTTAGATAATCTGGAACATTCATAGAAGAGCAAAGAGGATAATCAGGAGACTAGAAAATCTTAAAAGGAGAGATGAAAGAAACTTGGAATGTAAACTAAGAATATAATAGGTAAAGGTAAAGGTTCCCCTCGCACATATGTGCTAGTTGTTCCCGACTCTAGGGGGTGGTGCTCATCTCCATTTTAAAGCCGAAGAGCCAGCACTGTCCAAAGATGTCTCCGTGGTCATGTGGCCGGCATGACTAAACGCCAAAGGCGCATGGAACGCTGTTACGTTCCCACCAAAGGTGGTCCCTATTTCTCTACTTGCATTTTTTATGTGCTTTCAAACTGCTAGGTTGGCAAAAGCTGGGACAAGTAACGGGAGCTTACCCCATTATGCGTCACTAGGCATTTGAATCGCTGAACTGATGACATTTTGATTGACAAGCTCAGCGTCTTAGCCACTAAGCCACCGCGTCCCTAAGAATATAATAGCCCTCCTTAAAATTCTGAAAAGACATCATATTTGAGGTCTGTGCTTTATTGTTGCAGACATTCATACACACACACACAAATAGAGCAGACAGAGAAGTTCAAGAGTAGGACCATTACTCAAAAACGTAGCAATTCTGCCTTGCTGAGTAACCTCAGAGATACTTTAATTTGGAATATACATGAAGCAGATGGCAGAATTTTATAGCCTAAGTAGCCCTTCTAATGCTAAGATTCTATGTGGCAGAAAGATACAATCATAGTAATAACATTTAAGTAATCATATTAATATTAATGATAATGAAATATTAATATAAACAAAATTTAGTTTATTTTTATCCTGTCTCACCCAGTATATGTTTAGAGATCAAACTGTATATCTCAATTTAATATGAAAAGTGCAAGAAGGGGGGGGGGGGCTAAAAGAAAAATAAAAGGAAAAAAAAGAAAAATAGATAAAGAAGTAGTTTCTGATCTTCTTTACAGCAATTATAAATACAATGATAAATTTATCATTGAACAACTTTCAACACAGAACAACTTTCTTCTTTCCATTATCGACTCTGTCTAATTATCAAAACCATAAGTTCATTTTTTTGATGTTTCACATGAAAAATCAGCAATAAACATACATATAATATTTTCTCTGATCAAATAAGTCAATTAAGTCAGATCGGCAAGTTCCATCATCTTCACTAATCATACCTCCATTGTGCATAATGCCAGATTCACCCAGAAACTCTTATGCATAAACATAATACATAAGGAGACTTACATCTCATGCGTTGAATCAAACTGAGTTTTTGGGAAACCCTCAAGTAGTCTGGTTTGAGTTAAGAAAAACCCTTTTCCTAATTTAGGGAAGATGTTGCTTGTAAGTGTAGACAATGCTGAATTAAATGGAGCTGAGATGAACTTCTCATTTTTGTGTGTCTCTAAAATGGTACCCATAAAGAAGCTAATGGACTCAGGTGCTTAATTTATACTGACAGTTTCCAGAAGAAGTTTAGGAAGTTTCCTGAGAATATGGTGGTTGCCTATTGCAGTAGAAATGTGAATTGCACCAGAGTGGACTCTGCCTTCTCACAATTTAATGCAGCTCCTTGATTCTCTGAGGGACTTAGAAAGACGCCTTTGGGAGAGGAGACACTTAAAGTTGCAGGTGGAGGAAGGCCTATTTCAAATCCAGCTGGTCACTGGTAAGACCTCATATTAAAGCCTATGCAGTGGTTATGCAGGAGGTGAAAATGAAAGTATTTGTCACTCTTGTCATATTTACCGAAACTAAGACATCTCCTGATAATAAGCCCAATTGGGCTTTTGAGTGCATGCGCTCAAAATAAGCCCCCCTGAAAATAAGCCCTCCCAAAAAATAATTAAACGTATGCGTAGCCAGTCCCCGCCATTTCTTCTGGTTAGGGTTAGGGAGACAGAGCTGGAAATCAGGTAAGATGGTAAGATGCTCCTCGCAACCCAAAATAATAAGACCTCCCCGAAACCAAGGCCAAGCGCTTATTTCAGGGTTCAAAAAAAAATATAAGACAGGATCTTATTTTTTTGGGAAACACATTATTACGTGCCAACCAACAGCCCATTTTAACACCATCCACTTCTTCCTCGGGAAGGAGGTTTGCTAAGGACAACCTGATTGGCCACTGAAAGAATTCTCATAACATTTAGCATATAAAATGCCCTGATCCAAACCACTGTGAGCTGTAGTTGTGAATGCCAAAGTACCATATTTTTCGGAGTATAAGTTGCACCTTTTTCTCCCAAGAAAGAGGGTGAAAATCTGGGTGCGTCTTATACGCCGAATGTAGTCCTGCCCAGCTTCTCAAACGGAGGTTTCAGAGGCTGAAAAAAGCATCAGAAATGACGCTTCAGAAAAAAAGCCCCCAAACAGAGCTTCAGAAAAGAAGCCCCCAAACAGAGATTCAGAGACTTTTTTTCTGAAGCTCTGTTTCAGAGGCTTTCAGAGGCAGAAAAAAAAAAAGCCAAAAAAAGCAAGGCACAGAGCTCACAACTGACGAACCTGTTGCTAAAATTCACCTCTGGGAACAGCTGATTGGGGGTATTCTGGATGCTGATTCACCGGCCAATCAGCTTTTTTTTTTATTTTCCTCCCTAAAAACTAAGGTGCGTCTTATACTCCAAAAAATATGGTAGTTGATTAGGGCTTCATCTCATGAAGTTATTTGGGAAATCCAGAAACAGGAGATGCGGCTCTCTATATTGTCAGCTTTGTTGAATCTCCACCCCCATGGCTGATTAAGGCTTCTGTGAGGTGATGAGGAATTGAATCTGAGCAGTTATCAACACCTGTTTGGATGAGGGTATGGACCTGTCTTAAGAAGCCATCCCTTGATCCAACTACAGTCACTCTTCATTTAGAGACTGCCTTGTTTAGTGACTCTTCACAGTTATCATAGTGATGAAAAAGTAACTTTGCAATCAGTCCTTACATTCATGACCTTTGCAGGTCTGTAAAACTAAGGAAAGCTGAAGTAAGATTGTAAAACCATGATGTTTTAACTTGATACTGTTTCACTTAAAACTGAGTCGCTTGTACCATGATCACTGAATGAGAACTATATATATTTTGGATAACTTTAGTCATCCCTTTCGGGGAGTAGGATAGTAAAAGTGGTAGCGCCCAAACTTCAGAGGACCCTTAAAAGAAGTAGATTAGCAGTATTACATGAAGTTCAGCATGGAAACAGCATGATTAAGCTTTGACGTTTGGCAAAATCGGGACCAAGGGATGCAATTTTCTCAGTGAAGAAATGTAAACATCTACCAAAGTGAAAAAGAATGTCATTTATCAGCAGAATAATTTGAGGTTAAGAAATTTTCCTTTTTCTGACACTGATCTTTTAAACTTTCAAGGATTTCCACATTGAAAGTTTATTTTATTGTAATTACTATATTCTTAGTGCCATAGAAAATTAATTCACATTATACATCTGTAACCTATTTCTGAGCATACTGGTAAACAATTTCATCACAATATTTTGTCTTGAACTATGTTTATATTATCTACTTAGACCCTTTCCAGACATGTAACATTCAGGTGTACATTCAACCAGAATTCTGATAATCCCTAAACAGAATATGAGAGATAAATCCAATACATCTGAGCATAATACAGTATATTCAATTAATTCTTTAGACACTACTTCACAATATTTTCCTTGCCACAATAGCAAACAAGCAATTCAAATATTTTGAGATAGCATTTTCTTTTACACCACAATATATAATTGTATAAATACAAGCAAAAAGCAGACACATAAATTCATTCCAACCATATTAAAAACCTGTATACTTTAAAAAGATGAATTTCACAAACATTCAAAAGAACAAGAATATTTAAAGCAAATAGGGACAATTTGGTTACCAGAGACTATCACATGCTTGCTGATAATAAAATAAATTGGGAACAGACAGAAGAACATTTTTTTGAAGAAAACTAAGAAGCATTTTTTTTCATATCAAAATACGACAATTTTGCACACTTGGTATGCGTAGTTGTGCATACATAATAAATTGCATTTCCAGTTGTTGGCAAAGCACATTCAAACAATACCAAGACAAGCTGATACAATAAAATCAAGTTATAGAATACCCATAGCAAATTTACCACTTTCAAAAATGGTCCAGTTTAGGGTATCATTTTAATTTATTGATATCCTGATTTTTGCACCCATATGTTCCAAAATTGGTAAGATGAATACCAATTCATCATGATCACTGCATTTGGGAACCATTCTTCCTCCCATTTCATTTGGTAGATGCTGTACACAATTTTATCTGGCAATGGGCTCCTTAGGTCTCAGAAGTAGGAAATTAGATTCAGGTCTCACCATATAAAGAGCCTTGGTCAGGGCTGTCAAACTCGCGGCCTGTGGGCCCAATGAACCATGCGCTGGCCATGCCCAGTTTAGCGAAGGGGGAAAAAGTCCCAATACGTCATGTGACGCCGCATTGACGACGTGAGTTTGACACTCTTGCCCTAGGTGATAGGTCCAAATCTAATGGGCTTAATTAGCCCATTAAAAAAAAAGACTTTGTTTGTATACTGAGATAAATTTCTTATTGAGTCAAGAGTAGAATTAATTACAGATCAGTGGAGATTTTCCAGCAGAGATTGGACATTCACAAGTTAGGGCTGATGAAAATTTGAATTTCTTGTTTCAAATAGGAAGCTGAACCAGATAACCCGTAAGGCCTCTTCCAACTTTAGGATTCTATCCACGACATTGATCCCTTCACATATTGAAGCATTATAAGATACCTATTATCCTGTGATCAATTCAGTAATATGTCTGCATTTCAGATATCAAATACAAAATGGAAATGCCAGCTGTAAATTTAAGTGTACATACAAATATCAGTTTTGAATAGTCTTCTACATAGAACCTTAAAATATCATGAAAAGGATTCTAATTCAGCTCATACTGTAATCCATGCTGGGTTAACTTTTCTAATTGTTGACAACTTAAAATTGCTTTGATTTTAACATACAGGGAAACTAGGGTATAGTGCATATTGAGTTGGAAACATGATATTTCAATTAAATGGGAATTATTACCCAGTCAGTGTCTATCTTCATATCCTGCTTGGTCTTCATGTCCAGCTTGCCACAGCAAAATTTTGAGATATGTGTCTTCCTGATGTTACCTGTGTCTAACTTGCTGCCTAGAAAGCCTTTAGTTTTAATTGACTGTGGAAGTAGTGTTTTCTTTCTTCGTTTGACATAAAACATGCCATTCAGACAATCTAGGACACTCTGGACATGAGTTCAGGATGGTCAAGACTTCCCATGTTCTATTCAATGTGTAAATCCACTATGAAAAAGCCCTCTCTCTACCTAGGCATGAGACATAGTCCTGCATGATTATTTTACCTTTAGTGACAAGAGTAACGAACACCTAGCTTCTGCAGCTCATTTCTTTTGGGAGAGGGTTAACATGATGCCCTGACCTACATTCAGAAGAACAATTGGTGGAGAAACTGGAAGTGTCGTGGCGAGATTGGCTGGAAATTAGTGGGCTCAGATCAGCCCAGCAAAAATCCAGCCAGACAAACCGCTGTCGGGAGGTCTTCGGACTGGAACTGTCTTGTAGGGATGGTGAAAAAGGAGAGGTGCCTTGGACAACTAAGAGGAACAGGCAAGTTCCTCAGAAGGTCAGAGGCAGTTCTTCGATCCAGCAGCGGGGGCAGCGGCCATTAAAAATGACTGCTTTGAAGCTGGGGCAACCGGAATAAGATTTTGTGCAGGAGCGGTGTTTAGATGGAGTATTGGTATTGGGTGAGTGATTGGCCAACTCACAGGTAAAAAAGGAAATTAAAAAAAAAAACCTCTAAAAGATCCCGGTGAGGAAACGAGTGGCTAATTGGCACTTGGGAAACAAAAAAATGTGACAGGGATTATAAGAAATATACTTTATAAATGGAGAAATAAGATAATTAATTGAAGCAATGTTAAGAAATTAGGATTTGAAGGGCGGATGGTGATACTGTTTATATATTATGTATTAAGAAGAGATTAAGATAAGAGAAAAAAGTAGAGAAAAAAGAATATCATGGCAGAAAATGAAACATATAAATTGTATCTGGAAAAAACAAAAAAGAAGATTGGAATAGATTATAAAAATTAATATATAATTATGTCATAAATTGTAAAAGATGTGACCCAGTTCATAAAATATGTATGTAAAAGAAAAATTTAATAAAACTTGTCTAAAAAAAAAAAAAGAAGAACAATTTTCCAGAGGGTCAATTTTCCAGGTTGGTGATGCTCAGTAGGAGGAGAGAGTAAGATAAAGAATTCAATAATCACTGCTCTGACAATAATCTGTGTTATGTTCTACCAGGGCAAGAATACTTTAGAGTTGAAGTTGGGCTGGAGGAAACAGTGCAATTGATGTTGACATATTCTCCTCACCTCCATTCAAGAAGTTGAGGAAAGAATGTTACAGTGCCATTTAATTTTACCGACTGACCAAGAATTGTAACATTGTGAAAAGGAGAAAAAAAATCCTTTATCTCAGAGCTGTCAAACTCCCGGCCTACGGGCCAGATGCATCGTGAACTGGCCATGCCCATGCCCAGTTTAGCGAAGGGGAAAAAAGTCCCAATACATCATGTGATGCTGCCGTGACGACTTGAGTTTGACACCCCTGCTTTATCTCCAGCCATATTTTCCACACCAGTTCAATTTAGTTCTCTAAATTGGAATAAAATGAGAAGTAGGGTTTAGGCAGCTTGCAACAAGATAAGAATTATTGTGATGTAGATGCTACATTTTACTATTTGTTAATATTGAAGGAAGGTGGTCTTATGGATTTGGCCTGGATTGGAATTTCTTTCCTCGAATTGCTGACTTCCATAGTGAGCTGGTTCCAAATTTTACCAATGTGATTCATGTTCTTCAGCCTCAGCTGGCAGTTGTACAGCAAATAGCTGTAGCACAGTGTCTTCATTCAACTGCAGATAATTACATATGCCTATAGGACCTGTGAGAAAATGATGTCTCTTGGGAGACTAAAACAGGACCATACAAGCAAGTCACTCCCATATTTACACACTGCTTGTCATAAAGTGCAGTGTTACACCAATGTTCTCAATGATTGAGCAATAATCACAAAAATATCACATCTAAAGTTATCTCATGAAAGTGACTGGGCAACTCACTCTAGAAAATATAGATAGGAAATGAATATTAAGGATGCATACATATCTGCAGTTTACCTCTACGTTTCCACAAAACAAGCATTAATAATATACAGTACGATAGTAGCTTCAATAAGTATGAGCATATTGACATTTACCACTTTGGATATTTTTAGATTAATAAGCAGGATGATTCAGAAGTGGTTCACTCTATGACAGCCTTGTCTAAGCCAGCACCCTCCCAGCTAAAAATTCTGGGAATTGATTTCTCAATACATCCGGAGGTTGGCAAAGATCCAAGTTCTGAGATCAAATAGAACAAAAGCAAAATGGAGTAAGAGATGCAGCTTCTTCCAACTTCACATCACCTGAAATGAGAAATTGAAGGCTGAATCACTTTAGATGACCACCATGCATTTAAGTTGATACAGAGGCAGCTGAAAGTCATCTTCTGATATTAGCTTTCATAGTCTTGAAACCATTACTACCAGTGGTGGGTTGCCCCCGGTTCGGACCGGTTCGCAAGAACTGGTAGTAAAACTGGTGGGAGGCTCCACCCACTGCCCTGGATGTTGTCATAGGCGATCTGCGCATGCACAAAAGCTTGGCGTGTGATCCCATTGCAAACCGGTAGTAAAGGTAAGTAGAACCCACCCCTGATTACTACCGTATTCATTGGATGTTCCTACTTGCAAGTGGCTGTGAAATACTATCATCTACTGCTAGGTGGACATTGCTTTAACAAAAAAAAACCTTTCAAGAAAATTATGGCAAAAGTCACTTCTATCTATCCAAATACAGGGAAATTCCCCAAAGTTATGGGAATTAAGACTAATCTATCACACATTCTCAGACAGATTTTCCCTGAAAAAAATGTTGTTCGTTTGCCTTATTCCCAGTGATTTTGATCATTTCTTTGGAACTGAGGTGCTGTTTTGAAGTCTCTTGGGTGAAAAGTGTTATGTCGATGATGTTTTTAATTGCATCTCTTCTTTCACATCTAATCATATGTTAAATATTTAAATATTAAATAATAGTTTTAGATGTCTACACTTTCCAACCTGAGAAAGCCCAACGAGGGGATAATCCTTTGTCATGTTTTTCCTTAAGTTTTACAGTGAACTGTGAGAAATCAGAGAGGCTCCTTGACTTTGGAGAGGAGATTCTACATTGAGAGTTCAACCCCTTTGCCACCCTTGGTGCAACGCATTTCACTTTTGATAATTTCACCCAAAAACATCTTCACTTTTATTAAATTAGGACTGGGCACAGAAATGCAAATGAATACTTTTGTATAGGAGTAGTAGAGACATCTTTTCACATTTTGATATACTAAACAGTAAAGGACACACAAAGTTGTCCAGCCATGCCCACAATCTCTTTTATGGCTATTGATTGAAATACACTACAATTCAAGCTGCTATTCTGCTTCTTACCTCGGAGGTCACACAGTTATTATCAAAGGATACTTTTGTGGATGACAGGTAAGCCTCTGTAACTGTGATGTCCTCTAGTTCAGTGTTGAAATGTTCAGTTTCTTTAATGATGCTGTAGTTGAGGGCTACACTGTAGTTGGTAGGTTTCTCCAGCTGTTTCTGTTGGCACTTACAGAGTTTTTTGAAGGCTGCTCGGAATTTTTGGGACATGAGGTTATAAATAACAGGGTTGATGGCACTATTAAGGTAAATGCAGATCCTACAGAACAGCAAGAACCAATGTTCTTGGAAAGGTTGAGACAGGAAGGAGTTAATGACCACCAAGGTCCTGTAGGGCATCCACAAGAAGGCAAAAAGGACTACAACCACAGCCAGCATCTTTGTAACCTATGGGAAATGAATAGACATGTCTGATGAGCAAAAGTAGAGTGACATAAACCTTTTCAATGATTTAATCCAGAGACAGAGAACTTTCACTGTAGTTTATTGTACACAATTCTGTCAATATGACCATCATTACCCAGGGTGGGACAGATGGGAGTAAAGTCCTATAAAATAACAGAAAAACAGAGTTAGAAGGGACCCTGGGGATATTCTAGTCCAACACCTTGCTCAAGGAGGAAACTCTATACCATTTCAGACAAATGGTTTTTCCAATCTCTTCTTAAAAAACCTCTAGTGATGGAGCACCCACGACTACTGAGGGGAAAGCATTCCACTGATTAATTGTTCGGTCAGGAAATTTCTCTTTAATTCTAGGTTGGTTCTCTCTTTGGTTAGTTCCCATCCATTGCTTCATCTTCTGCCTTCAGGTGCTTTAAAGAATAGACTGATTCCCCTTTCTTTATGACAGTCCTTAGCAATAGCACTTAGACTTACCGTGTTTCCCCAAAAATAAGACCCTGTCTTATTTTTTTTTGTGAACCTCGAAATAAGCGCTTGGCCTTATTTTCGGGGAGATCTTATTATTTTGGAGCACATGGAGCAAGATGGGGCTCCTCTTGCTGCCTTACCTGATTTCCAGCTCTGCATTTAAATATTTTTGGGGAGGGCATATTTTCAGGGGGAGGCTTATTTTAGCGCATGCGCTCAAAAGCCCGATTGAGCTTATTATCAGGGGATGTCTTATTTTCAGGGAAACAGGGTATATACGGCTTTACAGTGCTTTACAGCCCTCTCGAGCGGTTTACAAAGTCAGCATATTGCCCCCAACAATTTGGGTCCTCGTTTTACCCACCTTGGAAGGATGGAAGGCTGAGTCAACCTTGAGCCTGGTGAGATTTGAACTGCCAAATTGCAGGCAGTCGGCAGTCAGCAGAAGTAGCCTGCAGTACTGCACTCTAACCACTGTGTCACCTTAAATATTGGAACATTTCTATTGTGTTATTTAGGCACTCTCAGGAATCCATACAGATCTTTCAGGGTAAGTGTCAGGTGATCTCTGTTCTTAAGAGCCATGATGCCATATTTTATTCAAGGTCAATTTGAATTAAGAAAGTGTCATGTAAAATATGTTAAAATAATCACCTGCTCAAGAAGTAGTTGGTGCAGTACTAATGGATGTGCAAATGAGATCCTTAACACAGCTACCATCAGCAAATCCAATGACACCTAGGGATTCTAAACTGTGATACAGGGACTTCGAGAGGACTGCAGCCCCATCTAGAGCATAGTCACCTCAGTCCCTTAGTTCACTTGTTCTTTACCAACAGCTCAACTCTTATCTGGATTTAATTTCCTTTATTATCTCTCATCCAGTCCATAACAGAGAATAATTTTCAGAACTACCGAGGGCTTCTTTGGACGGTAGCATATCAATGTCTTCCCATTACAAAGTAATGTAAAGAACTATGTCACCTTCGGTCTGACCTAAGCATAGTACACAAAATTATCTGCTACAATGTCCTACCTCAATGTCTACTTCAGCTTCAATTGCAACAATACACGAGCACCCAATAGATACAAACTTAAAGTAAACCACTCCAAACTTGATTGCAGAAAATACGACTTCAGCAACCAAGTGGTCAATGCCTGGAATGCACTACCTGACTCTGTGGTTTCTTCCCCAAACCCCCACAACTTTAACCTTAGACTGTCTACTGTTGACTTCACCCCATTCCTAAGAGGTCTGTAAGGGGCTGGTGCATAAGCGCACCAGCGTGCCTACCATCCCTGTCCTACTGTCCCCATTTATTTGTATCCATTTCCTGTATTCATAATCATGTTTATACTTATACCTGTTATCTTATACATGCTTGACAAAGAAATAAAATGAATGAATGAATACCACCAGTGGGATTTTGTTTTGATTGGTGTTTAACAGAATAGGGGACAAGACAGAACCTTGGGACATTTCATGGATCAGGAGGAGCTCAGATGGTTGAAATGGACTTGAGAGATTCTTTAAGTTTTTATCTTTTCACAGTGAAGTCAAGGAACTTGAGATGACTGTTAAACAATCCTCCCCTTTTCAAGAACGTTGCTCCCCCAACCAATTTTGAAATGTGGATTTTTAATTATCTTAATGAGTATCAATACTTAACCAGGAGAATAATAGTATCGCCTGCATTGTTGTTACCTTTCTAGAACAAGTAATGAAAGTCCTTTTCAAAAAGCACAGAGTCCTCCTGCTTTTGGTTCACAGGGGTGTTTTATGAACCCAATTCTGGTCATCTGCAGTGACTCAGACTTTTTTTTTAAAAAAAAAGCCAATAGCTATAATTGCGTATGGAATCTACTTTTGCACAATTGAGACTCAGGTTTCACCAGTCAGATGGCACCAGCCAATTTTAAGCAATTTATCCATTTTTGTGTTGACAGTGACTCCTCTGATGAAGGAGTCAGAGAATAAGTGAAAATCGTTTAATCTGATGGAGAGCCCAGCAATCCTTGATGCTATTGCATTTAATTAAGACCAGTCCATTTCATTAGGAAATAAGGACTAACCATTAATATAAGAGCATTGTGAGGCTCTGTTATTGCTATGACTATGAAATAATGATGAAGGATGAGGATGAAGAGGGAATCTATCTTGCTTTCTAGTCTATAGAAATAAATACCCCAAGTACTTACCATAAATCAAGGATGCACAATTTTGGGGGATAATGCAAGGGCCACCCAAGATGTAGGCAGATTGAAGACAGAAACAACATTGATTTATACAATTCCAATTTCAGTTCGAATAATGCAATATCATTAATATGATGACTTATAGAGTAAATTTTCTCTTTCTGTTGCTGTAAGGAGATGGTAGGGGATGATATGAATGCTGATGAGGCTGGCTGGAGTACAGAGGATGCGGGACCTGTTTAAATCCAGATGGCCTTGCCTTCATTGTTTGATATGAATTTCTAAAGCAGCTGGATGAAGATGAAGCTGGACCAATTCCAGAAGTGAGATCTAAAGAGTCTCTTCCATAGTGAGATCAGCAGCCTATAAGTTTAATAAATAAATAAAAGATACATGCTCGGCATTACTAGATAGGTGTCGGACCTGGAAGCCATCTTTTCACCTTTGAGCCTTCAGGCCTGCCACAAATTCTACTGTGGGAAAATGTGAGGGGGGATTGTATGGAGTAGAGATATATGTAGTAGTCAAAATAACATTCTTTCTAGAAAGTCAAGGCCATTGTGCCCTGTAGCTGGACTGAGAAGAATGAGGAGGTATCTTCTGTTCTGGAGGGTACCTGGTTGGTTATGTGGTGGACATGTGGGTGAAGGGCAAGGACTTGAACCTTCTTTTGGGTGAGGAAAACCCAGAAGCTCTCAGATTTGGGTTTTCCCAGATGTGCCAATACGACATGTCTAATAAAAATTAGCTTGGAGGAAACTCATGCTTCGGAGTTTGGGGTGTTACTTGGAATCCTGACAACAAGATAGAAAGAGCTGCACATGGATTAGAGATCAAACGAAAGCGTAAAATATCATCAAGAGAGTTAAAGAATTGAAATGGAAAAGGGCTGGTCACCTAGCAAGAAGAACTGATGGCAGGTGGACGAAGGCAGTCATAGAATGGATCCCACTTGATAAAAAGCATCCACAAAAGAGACCTAAAGCAAGATGGATTGATGACACCAGGCAAGTATTACAAGCCCAATTGGCAAAAAAAAGAGATCGGGACCATATTGGTTGGAAACATGTGGAAGAGGCCTTCATCCTGCAGTGGATAGACAATGGCTAAAATGAAATAATAGGGTAAAAGGCTGTTAAGAAAACTGAACTAGGGAAAAAAATGTGATTGCTGTGCATCCGGCAGGAAGAATCTGTTCTTTGTTCCAGTTTGAGAAGTAAATCAGCCTACAATGAAGAAGAAACTGGAATGGTGGAAGCATCATATTAGGGCAGGAGTCTCCAACCTTGGCAACTTTATGACTTGTGGACTTCAACTTCCAGAATACCTCAGCCAGCATGTGCTGGCTGAGGAATTCTGGGAGTTAAAGTCCACAAGTCATAAAGTTACCAAGGTTGGAGACCCCTGCATTAGAGCCTTGCAAGTCAAATGGTGGGGGAGTGGGGCAATGGCTCATTGGTTAAAGATATTGAGCTTGTTAGCTGCTAATCCAGGTTTGATTCCCAAGTGCTATGCGACACAGGATGAACTCTCATTCCTAGCCTCATTCCTGCCCACCTAGCAGTTCAAAAGCATGCAAATGTGAATAGATAAATAAGCATCGCTTCAATGGAAAAGTAAGAATGTTCCATGTGCCTTAGCATATAGTCATGCTGGCTACATGGACCATAGAAAAGTCTTCAGACAATGCTGACTCCCTCAGCTAAGAAACAGAGATGAGCACTGCCCCCTAGAGTCAGACACAAGAATAGAATAGAATAGAATAGAATAGAATAGAATAGAATAGAATAGAATAGAATAGAATAGAACAGAACCTTGGAGGTCTTCTAATCTAATCTAATCTCCTGCTCAAGCAGGAGAACCTGTATTATTTCAGATAAGTGGCTGTTTAGTCTCTTCTTAAAAACCTCCAGTCAGAGGAGGTATTCAGAAGGTTCTGACCAGTTCTGGAGAACCAGTAGCGGAAATTTCGAGTAGTTTGGAGAACCGGTAAATGTTGTGGTGATGGATCTAGCCCAATAACTCACAAGATGAATTCTTTTTCTTAATTAAATTCCTTTATTGCAGGCCTAGATAAATCTTAGGCCTCATGGAGCCAGAGGTCACTGACCTTGGACCTTTCTCTTTCAGGTACACATTTGGAACAACTGGAATACCTCGTGGTGTGAGCTATTATACCCAGGAGGAGGGGCTAGGAGGTAAGGAGTGGCTATGGGGGTGATGGGATATGTGGTTGGTTAACCCTTACAGTTCTGTATACCAGTGATAGCAATACAGTTAGGCATTTACCATAACAGTAAATACCACCTCTGACTGGC